TATAATTACTTATTGTAGATCACCCTGATAGTGCAATTCTATATTTATGAGCTACCTTACGATAATATATGAATTGATCATCTAACGCATTTACGTACTTTTTCTTTTGAACAGTTTTCATAGCCATTTTTCTTTGCTTAATATTAACTACGTAAATGCGCAAATATGACTTTTTTCTGTATGATAACCACGAAATAGAAATGCCTTTATATGTCCTATTTTAAATAATTTTATCATATTAGAGAGGATACCCTTATTTTCACTTTAAACACATCTGTAAATTCTTCATCTGGTATGAGAATATCAAAGAATACTCAAATTTCTATAATTGTTACTACTGCTTTTTGGTCATTGATAAGTGGATCATAGAGACGCAATATGTAATATACCTTGCCATTTATGAATTCAGTAGATTTTTCTATATCAATGGCCATAAATGGAATATCTCATTGCTTAGATAGAGTGTCTTCAAGAATTGCAGTTAACCCCTCATCATTTTTTGCAACTATATCATTACGAATTGGGATACCTGGTAAGTAATTTTCACCAGAATAGCGAATCAGTTGGGTTTCTATTTTATCTTTTTCAGCCTTTGAGCAGAATGAGGTGGATGCGTTGAGGAACTCTGAAAGCTCTGAATATTCGGTCATGTTTTAGATATATTATCTAGTATACCGTTTCAGTATAATACCTTAGTAAAAAAGTTTAAAATAAAAATAAATATTATTATAGACATCAAAGATTGAGAATAATAGCAAAATGGTAGACATTATATTCACCGATGATTATATCGAAAAGAAAGGTAAATACATTTGCCAGTATCCTTCTGATGAAGGGATAGTTTGTGGGAATGGAAGTACATGACCAGAAGGGTGTATTATTCACTGGAAAAAATGCCAGCGAGCTTTATGTAAACAAGATAGATGTATAAGACTGACAGCTTCTAAATATAAATTTTGTAATTCGCATGTCCAGAAGTGTTATTTAAAGGCATATTATCAGCGGAAAAAATTGGATAAGATTAAAATGAGATCTTGATAAAATAAAAATGTTTGATATAATAGAGTGTTAGCCTTAAAAAGTTATTCCTAGAAAAAATGTAGAAGATACTTCTGGGGATATTGAAAGTAGACTTTTTGACATTTTTATAATCCTAAAAAGACTTCTAGATAGGTGTCCCTAGTATTTCTAGCATCCTTAGAAAAAAATCAGAATACCTAACCTTTTTTTTTATTTTTAAGCATATGTATATTACACATATACTATTTATATAGTATCTATATACTACCCATATAGCATACATAAGTAGCATAAAAAAGTTTTGAATTTTTTTTTACAACTTATTTTTTATTAAAAACACTAGGGATACTAGGGACATAGATAGAAGAACATAATCAATAAACTTAAAAACCTAAAAATTGATATTATAGTTGTCTCTAGGAAGTAACCTCAGAAAATTTTTTCTAAGAACACTAGGGACAGCACAATGTAAAAAAATTGTCTCAATTTATATTCTAATTTTCCCTCATTTATACCTTATATTGAATGTGATAAATGAACTTATTCTGAATATGAATTTTGTGATCTAATGCTAGAAAGTATCGTAAAAGGGAATAGTATCATCAGAAAAAGCTGGCTAAGCAAGTTGAAAATATGTTCTAGCAAACTGTTCTAGAAATTTCATCCTAATTATCCTAGTTGTCCTAGTTATCAAAATTTTCTAGAACAGATGAAATATAGCTAGATAGTAATTTTAAGACGAATGAAGGGAAAGAAATAATTCGTCCTAGTTGTCCTAGTTGTCCTAATAAATTTTAGACTTCTTTACTTTTTTTTTTTATTTTTTTACTTATAAATATGCCAGTATATATCTATATAATATATAAATAGCATATATACTGTATATTATACATATACCATAAGAAGGGTTACATTTTTTTTTCTAGAATTTTTATTTTTACTAGGACAAATATAACAACTAAGACGTAATATAAAAGAATAAGTTAAATCAAAGAAAGAAGTTCTTCTTCCATATCATAACCTGTCCTAGTTGACCCAATAACTTAAACAACTAGGATGGATCATGTCTTCGCATGGCAAATATGAAATTGCATTTTTATAGCATACATATATTACACATATAGTATACATATGTACTATAAGATAAGTTTTAATATTTTTCCTAGAACTTTACTTTTATTAAAGACACTAGAAACGCTTAAAAATTAGTATACTTATTGTCTTAACTTAGATTAAACCATGATTAGGTCTCAAAAATGCTTATAATATCCCGTCAACATACCAGTAATAAATAGGTAGTCAAAAAAGTAGAATATAACTCAACATCCAAGTTAGCCTAAAACTAGCGAACTAATAGAAATACTCTAGTTTCCTGCCAGTTCTAGGACACTATTAAAACACCATCATGGTGTCAAGCTGGATCCTCAAATTACATGCCTAAAAGATCAGCTAAAATTAATCGCAAATTTACTGTGTCACCTGACATGATATTTTTTACCACATTTTGAGATTTAGAAAAGCAACCAAATAAGCGTAAAGTGAAAGCACTCTAATATAGAATCCAGCATCCAGCTAGGTGCAGAAGGTCAATATTCTCAATATAAAACCAGATATCTAAACAGCTACAAAGGGTCAACAACTCCATTATAGAATTTAGCATGTAAATGACTCAGAAATAAGAAGAAAAGCATGGTATTTAGATTATATACATGTGATAATTAAATTATATTATGGTAATAAAAGTATATTAGTATAAAAAATACGAATACCAAGAAAGACTTAAAAATATAGCTAGAATGTAAAAGTGATATAAGAAATAATAAAATATTAGATTATATATAGTATTTAAACTGTATTATTTAGATTATATATGGTAATTAGATCATATCATTAGATCATATATTGTATTCAGATTATATGAGATATTTAGATCATATGTGATATTCAAATTATATGTGATATTTAGATTATATGCGATACTATAATCTAGGCTAAGTGGGATATCACATGTAATATGATCATATTACATGTGGTATCCCACTATTTAGTCTGATTATAATCTACAAAAATAAATATTATATTATTATATTATATATAAATAATATAAAAAAAATATTAATTTAATCCATTCATTTTTTTATTTGATATTAAAATCTATAAAGAAATATATATCAATAAAAAAGACTAGTTTTAATCATATTATAAATTCATTCAAGAAAATAATTAGAACACTTTTAACATAATAATAGTAAGCTTTAATAATAACATTTTTGTTAGCTGATGCTGCTTTTCCTTAAGATTTATTGACAAATTCCATTACGTTTTTTAAATTCTTGAAGCCAACCAGAAGAGAATTGCAGTATATTTCCAGAAATTCATAACCTACTTACCATTTTCAATTAAAATTGAATCACTTTAAATTGCTCTGTATTAGTAGTTTAATACAAACTCTTTAAGTGCAAGCTCAAGTTCTGAGAAGGTAATGGTTTTTTCCATTTTTGTTCTAGATGAGTAACTTCAGTAGAAAGTCATTTGTCTTTATTTTGCAAAATTTGAATTATTGTACTTTTATTAACTCTAACTTCCTACTTTTGTTCAACCCAATTTGTATAATAAACTCAGGTCTTTTTATTATTAGTAGCATAATGACAAAGTTCATATTTAAGTGTCAGTTAGAAAAACTCTTTTTTTTAGGAGGCATAGTAACGCGTTTAAAAACCGCAGCCGCGGTGCTTATCACTTCAGCGCGTTACGTAGCATGCATCACGTTATAAAAATAGTCTTCAACAAGTAGTCAGATGTATATACATAATATATAGAAATAGAACTTTATATCGAAGTCATGTGAGTGAATATAGATAAAAATTGCACGGTGTAAATAAAAACGTGCATTTCAATTCCCCACTTGGGGCCAAGCTAAGAACTGCATATTTAAAGGGTGTGCATATATAAGTGGTGCATATATAGAGAGTTGACTGTATTATTTATATTATCTATTTTTTAAAAAAAGGAAGTTATTGCTTTGGATTCAGGTATACGGGCGAATTTACCGACTATTTCATGCATATGACAAACTTCAAAGCAAGAAATAAGCGTAAACGTTACAGGTAAGCTTTCACGCTATTAGAATTAAGTAAACTCTAATCATTTAGTCTATGAGTTTAGGAAAATAATTAATTCACTAATTATTGGTAAAGTTATATGTTAATTTTATTTAATATATATCATTTATTTATAAATATTAACTACTTTAATAACATATTACGTCGTGTTATGTTACGGATTTATAAGAGAATCCATTAGACGCGCGACCGCCGAGCTATGTGTACATGTTCGATTTCGGCAGCATCTGATCCATAAAACGCACGAGCATCCGTGGTGCCAAGTAATAGTTTGTACAGAAGAATACAAGCAAAATTTGTGGAAAGATGTTTTGCTGTCCCCAAAGCAAAAATTATACTCGCAAATATTCTTCGATGCCTTACAAAAAGGAGTCAGCTTAAGACTGACGTGAGAGCCTATTCCTTTACGGTTATACCTAATTTAGACTTTGCTATTTAATGCGAGTAATGTATGCGTACTGACTATATGGGGTGTGTGTAGGGTTTTGAAATTTTTAAAAATTCATTCATTCCTTAAAACGAGTAACTGATTTACTTGATTAAGCAGGAAAAGAAAAAAAGCAAGCAGGGTTTGGAATTTTTTTTTCCCAGGATATTTTAAATTTTTATATACTTACCGCTAGAATGGAAAATCCATGCTATTATGTAAGTTACGCTTAAAAAGATTTAAGTTTCTCTGCCAAACAAAAAAAATTATTTTCCGAATTTTTACGTAATCAGATATTGAAGTTCCAGTTTAATACCTGAATTTATCTTAAAATCATAAATTTATAAATATCCAATGTTAATCGTTATATATATATATATTTTATTTCAAAAAAAAAAAAAAAAAAAAAAAAAATACATATATTAAAAGTCATGGCTGCTTTAATTATTCGTAAAGAAGGCAATAAATTTTTTAAAGAGGGTAGGAATACATATAAATATACTAGCTTGTATTATATATTTACACTTATATCAATCAATATTATTCACGAAAAGCATTATCATTAAAATGAAGGTTTTTGGAAAGAAGCGATTGATAAATACACTAAAGCAATATATATTGATCCAAATGATCATTTATCATATACAAATCGAGCCACAACTTATTCAAAGGTATAATTAAATCATTCTTATCGTACCTTTTTAATTTAAATATGTAAAAAAATCTATTCTATCTTGTAGATGAAAAATTTTACAGCAGCAATTAAAGATTGTAAAGAATCTATTAGAATTGAACCTGAATATGCTAAAGCTTATTATCGCCTTGCTAATTCACTAATGGCATTATTTTATAATGGTATATAAAAAATTTATTAATGAGTTGTAATTTCAACAAATAATATATATTTTTATTTTATCAGATGAAAGCTTGGATGCATATAATACATTCCTTGGACTCTATCCTAATAATATCCTAGCCAAAAATGAGAGGGTTCAAGTTATGAACAACATTTGTAATGAAAAATTTACATCCATGCAAGGGAGCCAAATACATCCTGCATTAAGGATTGTAAACTGGGCTAATTGTGATATTGAATTATCGTCTTGTAAAGCAAGACTTTTGGTAGCAACTCGTGTATTCAATAAAGGATGTGAAATTGCTAGAAATAATGGCAATGGTTTGGTGGAAATAACAAAGGGTATTATGACAGATGAACGGTGCATCATCATTCCTAGTTCGTTAGATTTGGCCATAAACATTGCAATAGAGCAAAGTAGAGCATTCCCGCCAAGCTTATCCGCTCGGGCAACAATTTTAAGATATAAGCAGAGACTGGTTCAAGAAGGATTAGATTCAATTTTGACCGCTCTTGCTACAAATATTCGTGCCGCTTTTTTGGCTGGTAATTCCTTTTTTTATTATAATCATCTTGTCATTATTTTATATTATTAGAATTATTGGACTTTATATATTTTGAAATATTAGGGTTTATGGATATGTTTGCACCAGATGCTAAAACTTTAAATCAAGGAATCGAAAATCTTCAACGTGCAGTTGAACTTGCATCATTCGCAAAAGAAATTGCACTAGATAAAATTGATGTCACTGATGTCACTTTTATTCGATCATTAAAAGTGCATCTAATGAGAGCAATTTTGATTAAATATAAAAAAAATGTAGAAATGTTTGATCTCTTTGATATTGTTCTTCAATTGGCAAAAGAAATCATCGATAGTTGCAAAGAAAATCCCGTTTCAGATGAAGATATGATTCATTATTCTGTTTATTATCGTGGACATCTGAAAGAAGCTTATGGATCTATAGGCTCCGCTTATAATGCGAGATCAAATTCTTCAAAAGGGAAGTTAGGTATTCAAGCGCATGATTTAGGATTGCTCTCCGAATCCATAAAAAATTATGAAGAAGCTATAAATTATCTCCCATTAGATGATCCTGATCTTGCTTTATTTCATTATTTAACTGTGTTAGTTATAAATTTCTTATATTAAATTTTTTTTTATTTAATGTCAATTTTTATTAATACCTTTTCATTTAGTTCATACAAACTTATTATTGGTGGACATACATTCCATGAAATTAAACAACATGTTCAAAAGGCTCAAAATTGTGAAAAAGAAATATTTCCTATTTTTGGAGATTTTATAGGAGATAATTTTGAAAAATCTATTGCAATTCAAAGTTTAGAACAACTGAGGCGACTAGATAACATTGCGAGTGACAAAGAGTATATCTTGCCACAAGCATTTCATGTTTCATCTAATAGTGAAAAAGATGAAGATGATTATATTCGAGAGTACGAAGCGAGAATAGGAGCAAAAGAGACTGTGAAATTCGATTTATCTGAAGCGGCTGCTAGAGCAAATTCCGAAATTACAAGAAATGCCTTTTCTTGATTTGCATACATAATCGTGTTGATTTTTTCAGTAATTCGGTATCTTACTCTTATATACTGTATATAGCTCATATATATTTCCTTACGATTTCCCATATATAAATAAAATAAAAGACGGTGCGATCCGCTTTGATTTACCGAACCTTTTTTTTTAAAAAAAAAAAAAACGTTAAATAGACCATATTATTTTATTAAGATGACACATCAAATATTATTAAATTGCGACATGTTTGTATTTCCCGAATACATGAAAGTGCATTACGACCAAGGAAAAAAGAGTTTAGATAAACAATGAGATAGGAAAGAGCGCAGGAAAGTTGTGATAAAACGATATAAATTTTTATTTTAATATAAAATTTTTAGTTTAGAAAATAATTTTCTAAAATTTTATACGATTCTTGTCACGCTTCGCTCTAGAAAGGGAATTCGCTAGCGATAAAGATTAAGATTTTCGTTATAATAATCTCGTGATATATACTGTACATTCATATTTATTTGAACAAATTCATATAAATTTATGAGAAGTTTGCTAGGAAAATCAGGTTCAGAGAACTTTTTAACTAAAATTAGATTTTAATCTAATAATTTCAAAAATAAAAATAAAAATTTTTGTTAACAGAATCTGATTTTCCTATATAATTAATAAAAAGGCAAATTTACTTTATTTACTTTATTTAAAGATCATTACTTTATTAACTATTGTATATTATTTGTAATTCTTTTTCTCTATAATTACAAAAATAAAACTTCAAAATTAATATTTTTAATAATATTATTGTTAATATCTTTTCTGTTCATACTATTAAATTTAATTAAATCATTTGTTTTTTTTTGAAAAGAAAATTATCTTTTAAACTAATTTTCTAGCTTTTTTCATTACTTTATCATATTTTTATCAAAAATATCTTGATTATTATTTTTTTTTAAATAGTTCAATATTATATCAATACAGTTAAAATTTTAGAATTAATTAATGAAATAATATTTCTATTATTTTTAGCATCAAAAATATAATTATTTTTTTTAAGAATATCAATAATTTGTTTTTTAGATAGTAACATATTAATAGTTTTATTTTTATGCTCTAATCTAATATAGTTTTTAGTAATAAAAAGGTATATATATAAATTTATTGAGTCTTTAAATATACTGATAAAAACTTAATTGTAATTTAGATCAAAGTTTATTAATTTTTATAACACAAATATAAAAAATTGGTTAAAGTTTATTGTATAGATTTTAAAAATAATTATTTATCTTATTTATAAAAAAAATCATTTTTATATATAAATTTATTATAAATTTTATTTTATTATCTAAAATTTAAAGCTTAAAATACAAAATATATATTAAAAATATTATTATAATATTATTATTATTAAAAAGTTTTATTATTATTTACTTATAATATTTTTTATATTCTTTTAAAAAAGTTTTTAAAAAATTAAGTATTTTAATTATGAATTCTAAGAAACTAAATAAAATTCTAAAAGTAATTTATAATAAAATAGTTAAAGTATTTTAAAATAATAATTAACTTTATAAAAAAAAAAAATAAATAATTATTTTTTATATAGTAATTTAAAGTGAAATATCAGTTTATAATAAAAGTATAGAATTATAAATAATAGATATTTTTTTAAGAGTTTAAGCATTTATCAAAACTAATTTTATTAAAAAATTTCAAAAAAATTTATATACTTTATATCATAATAATAATATCAAATTTATTAAAATCAAATAATATTATACTAATATAATGATAAATTTAGATTAAAAAATATATATTATTATTTAAATATACATTAAAAATCTTAAAAGATATTTAAAAAATTAAATTAAAAAAAATTCATTTTACTTTTATTATATATTTTTTTTAATAAAAAATAATTGTTAATAATAATAATAATAATATTAATTTGATTAATTTATTAAATCTAAATATATTATAGTAATTATATAAAAATATAATTTGTAATTATGATAATTAATTACTATTTTTTAAAAAATATGATAATTATATAATTAATTATAAGTAGTATAAAAATGGATTTTTTGGTACAAAAAATCCCATATCAAATTCCTAATGAAATAATACTTGAAAGTCTAAGATTACCAATTCACTTTCTTGACTAGCTTTCATTTTGAAATCGCTTGTTTCTAAGTAGTAAAAAAATTTTCTACTTTAGCACGTTCTTGTCTGAAACCCCTTTGGAATCCATCTTGAGTAACAAATTTTTTCATATATATGAACGCTAAATATGAAAGCAAATAGTGTTCACAGTCTGCGAAGCGAAGTGGAACATGTACACAAGATATGAAAGTAAATAGTGTTCGCAGACTGCAGAGTGAAGCGGAAAATGTATACAAGATATGAAAGCAAATAGTGTTCGCAATATGCAGAGTGAAGCAGAGTATATACACAAGATATGATCGCATAGTTGTAAAACAAAGCAGAGCATGTATCCAAAATATGAAAAAAATCAAGTAATATAAATGCA